AATAAGCAAAGCACAGAAAAGCAAAGAAGAAAGGAAACCAAAGCAAAGAGAGAAAACCATTAAGGAATGCAAAGCAATGCAAAGAAAAGGCATGACAGGAAAATAAAAGAGCAAAGCAAAGCAATGGAAACAGCAATAACAGGGAATAAAAGAAAGAAACATAAATGAAAAGGAAAGGAAACCAAAGAAAAATCATTTGAAAAGCAGAGAAATGAGAAGGAAAAAAAATAATGCCAAGAAAAGAACTGGAAGGGAAAAGAAAAAGCAGTAATGAAACAAGTGAAACAAAACAAGCAGTAAAAACATCTAAATTAGAATAAGAGAAGACAGAGCAAAGCCAAGCCAGGAATGGCAAAGTTAAGAGGAAGCAGACAGGCAAGAGAACAAGGATACAGACAGGGAAGGGAAGGAAAAGCAGAATGTAGTGACAAAAAGCAAAAAAAGAAAACCAACAAGGAATTAGAAAGTGAAAGGAAAGCAGAGAAAACTAATTTGAAAAGAGAAGAAAAGACAAAGATCACTTTTAGGAAGGACAGAAATAAAGCAAAGACATGGACTGGAAAGGAAAAGAACCAAGACAAAGGAAATAAACAGAAAGCAAAGTAAAAGGAGCAGTAAATGGAAAGGGTAAAAAAAAAAAACCCAACAAATTTTAGTTAAACGAAGCAAAGAAATACAAAGAAAAAGCACAGAGATAGGATGCAGCATCATGGCAAAGCAAAGGATTCAAACACAGAAAGTGGAAAAGAAAAAAAATAAAAATTAATCAAGGTAAAAAGTATAATAGAAAAGGAAAAGAAAGAAAAAGAGGTGAAAGAAAGCACAGAAAAAAACTTTTGAAAAGAAGGAAAATGAAAAGGATTACTCATAGAAAAGAGAAAATAATGGGAAGAAAGCAAATGACAAGAAAAAAATGACAAAATGAAGAAAACAGTGGAAAGCAAAGAGAAAAACGCAGTCAGGAAAAATAATGGGAAAAAAAAGCAAAGAAAAACAACGACATCCAAACCAATGTAAAAGAAATTGTTAATTTTTTTAATAAAAATATAAGAGAAAAAAAATGCAAAGCAAAGCGATGACATCCAAAGTAAAGCAATACAAAAGAAACAAACAACAACAGCAAAAACAAAACCAAAAGCAAACCAAAATAAAACAACTAAAACAAAAACAGGAGAAAAGCACAGCAAAAAAGAGAAATGCAAAGAAAAATCAGAACCATACAATGCAACATCATGGCAAAGTAAAGCATTCAAACAGAGAAAGAGAAAGAAAAAAAAGCTAACTAAAGCTAAACAGAGAAAATGAAAAAAAGTGAGAAAAAAATAAAAAAGCAAAGGCAAAGCTGAAAGGAAAACAAAGCAAAGAAAGAAAACTAAAAAGCAATGCAAAGGAATGCAAAGCTGTCCGTGCCATTGAGACAGAACTGCAACAGCACCAAGCACAGAAGGAAAGCGTGGGGAGCAAGCTTGAGTTTAACAAGTCAGAATAAGAAAAAGGAGCAAACAAAATAAAGTAAATTTAAAAAACAAAAACTGAAAAAAAGGAAAAACGAAAGCAAAGGGAAGAAGTGGGAACAAGCAGAGTCGAAAGTAAAGCAAAGCACAGAAAGAAAACTAGAAAGCCATGCAAAGCAACTTGAAGTGAAAAGGAAGAACCAAAGAGTGAACCAAAGCAAAGCAAGGGAAAATAAAAGAAGCCTCAATTTTGGCAGCTCGATTTTCCTGATGGTTGGTTTGTTGTCCTTCGTTGGCCTGGCTGCTGGGCACACGAGCATCTCCAGGGCGCACCTTCGCACCCACATTCTTTGTTCAGGCAGCATTCCACAGCTCAGCAGCCCATACAGGTTTACCCCTCCGCCGCCAGTTGTTTTCTTCCCGCTGCTGTAAGCATCCCCATAAGGCGCCTGCCACCATCCAGGAGACAGTGCAAAGGCGGAGCGTTGGCCACCCCTCCCGCTCAGCAGCATCTAGGGCCAGCTGGACAGCCTTCACCTCTGCACACTGCCTTGATTCTCCTTTTCCTTCAGTGGCCTCTGCAACTCATCGTGTGGGGCTCCACACAGCAGCTTTCCATCTGCGATGCTTCCCCACAGAACGACACAATACGTCTGTGAACAGGGCACATTTATTTACAAACCCCCAGCCTAATCTCAATCTCCAATCCCAACCCCGTATCCCTAATCCCATATCCCACGCCCCAATACCACATCTTAATCTCAATCCCAAAACCACATACCAATCCCAATCCTGATCCCATATCCCAGTCCTGCATCCCAATCCCATGTCCCTAATCCAGCGCCATTCTTAATCTCAATCCCAATCCCACATCCAAATCCCACATCAAGAGCTGCTTGCTCCAGTGTCACCGGGTCCAGCTGGAGGCAGGCCTGGAGGGGTGGCACAGGACAGCGTGAGGCTCAGTGACGGCATGGTGGCTGCGCGGGGCCGCCTGTGCCTGCCCCCATGTGGTGGTCAGAGCACAGGGAATGGCGTCACCCGAGAGACGGTGACATACAAGTGATGGTGACAAAAGTGACAGCCAGTGATGGGGACACTGTGCCACAGTTGTTGCACACTGAGCTTACACATGGTCACCTTTTTAAGTGTCACCAGAGTGATGGTAACACCCAATGACAGAGACAACGGTGACACCCAATGATGGTGACACCCTGAGGACAGTGACACTCAGTCGTACCCAGTGATGGTGACAACAGAGGACCCAAGGACCGCCCAGACCCTACAAGTCCTCTCTGGGGCATCCTCAGGCTCTTCTGAATGCCTCCGAGGGTGTCCTGGACACACCTGGGGACCCCCTGGACCTTACAGGATCCTTCTGGGACATCTCCAGACTGTAACCATAGGTGCTGTAACTGCTCTTCACAGCTCAGGTGTTTGACCTTCCTTTTGGTGAAGTGAATAAATACAGCTGGTCTCTATTTGTGCTTCCAGGCACCTTGAAGTTCTTAGGAAAAGAATAACTGTCTCCAGTTCTTCTCGGTGATACAAGTAACAGCTTGAATGTTGCTGCCCATTAGGCAGACCCAAAGAAGCAGATGACAGTTAAACTCCTGTTGAACCACCCTTGGCTCATGCAAGGTTATTCTGATGCTTTTCAGTGGCAAAGTAAATACCCAGTAAGTACACACACTCGAAGAAGCCTAAGTGTTTTCTGGAATCTTTTCTGGACCACTGGCATCCTCTCAGAATGGGAGTGATAACACATTTCTTCAGAGGCTGCTGACAAGTGGTGACTCTCAGGGGTCCATTTTGGTCAACATCTTTGTCAGTGACAGAGAGAATGGAACTAGAGAGCACCTTCAGAAAGTTTGCAGGCAGCCCTGTGCTGAGAGGTGCGGTGGATAAAACAGGAGGTAGGGATGTCTCGTCCCTGTGGTGTTCAGGACCGGGTTGGATGAGGCCCCGGACAGTTTGATCTGGTGAGTTGCAGCTTTGCAACTTGGAGCTTGATGGTCTTTAAGGTCCCTTCCAACTCAAGCCGTTCTATGATTCTCTGGAACTGTGCTTGTGCTCCTTATCTCTCAATTGTCTGACCTGTGTGAGAGGTTGGGGTAGCGGGGTTGGGGTGGGGGTGGGAATTGGGAGTGTGAGGGAGATTCTTGCTGCAGAACTGAGAAGTTGCTGTGTATTTGCAGCCAATGGCTGCTGCTGGCCTCTGGGTGCCACTGTTTCTCTGAAGAACAGCTGTGCTGATCGTACACCACCGTGTGCTGTGCATGCCATGGAACTGAATAATTAAGAGGGGATAGAGGTGCAACTTCTGCTCTAGTGAAAATCTCATCTGCTGACAGGCTTTTGTACTTGAATGCAGAACCTGTTGCCTCAGAGGGACCAGTTGCTGAAGTGCGGTGACTCTGTTTACTCCTTGCAGTATTTAGCCCTGATGCTAACTATTTAAAATAGAAAATCTGAAATGGTGGCTAACTATTGACTTGATTGCTGCATATCAGAAGACTATCATGGTGAGATTTGGCTCTGCGAGTGACTTGGAAGCTGTTTCTTCAGTACAGGTCTTGTTCTTGCAGCTGGGGCACCTTGATGAAGACTGTGTAACAGAACTTGCTGTGTTTCACAACCAGAGCAGAGAGAGTATATCGGCATTAATATCGGAGGTAATGAATGTATGTAACTCATTGTATTTAAGCTCACTATTACAGTAAATAACCTTTCTGTATGAACAGACTCTAATGTTTGCTTCTTCTCAAACATGAAATCTTTCATAGCTTTCAGAGCTAAGGTACCCCTGCTGAACTCCATATCTATCTGTAGCTGATAACTACATTCGTGCACTGCAAGTGGTTTAGCCATATGTCAGGGCAGGTTACTCGTCTGTTAATTCCAGAAGTTCTCACGGTTTCACAAGGAGGTGCCTTTAGATGCATCCAGATAATGAGACAATTGCTGTTCCTAAAACTAGCATGTGGTTCCACTTCTCATGGAGATCTAGTAGAAAATTTCTTCAATGTTCATTATGTTTTTTTGTTTTCTTCTGGGCTGCTATTTTGAGTGAAAGAAAAGGGTAAATACTTTTACTTAACTGTGCTCTTATTGCATCTTACTTCTAAATGAAATGTAACCTGTACTTTCACATATCTGCTTGGTGTGGCATTGAAAATACCGAGGCTAGCAATGTTAACAGCTGCATTTATGTGATGGACCAGAAACGTGTCCATGCTGCAACCTCTGGGTTACAAAGATGTTTGTCCTCATCCTTAGTGTCGATACTGCACGTGTTCACTCTGCCCTTTAAAGTATTAAGCACTTCTTACAATTGAAGATTCTTCTGTTCCAAGTGCTAGGGAATATTGTTCAGAAATGCTCCATCTCTGCAGGCTAATATGTTACTAAGAGTCACTGAACATATCACTTTCCTTTGTTAAGTGTTCAACGAAGCACATTACGAAGGCTAGTTGTTCACACAGGTTTTATTTTTGTCTTAAGACTGCATGTAACTTGTGATGTTGGTCTTATGGTAAGTTTAAAAAGTAAAAGTAGGCATTTCTTACATGAGAAGTGCAGAAGTGTGATTTCAGCTCATTTTTGTTAGATATTCCTGAGAGTTAAACAATTAAAATGTTCTGTTGGAAGTCCTTACATTCAGGATAGTTAAAGCAGTGCTTAGAGATATAACAATAAATGGTGGGAGTATGTCTTGGAAGTGTTGAGAACATGGCTGTCTGGGGCCAACTGCTGCTATGGAAAGCTGAATCTTCGAGCTATATTGAGTTGTCTCCACAAATTCAAAGTTGCTCCACAGAGCTGTTTTCCAACATGTGGACAATAGAACTTTTTAGGCCGTTACTCAACATGCAGTATTAACTGTGGTGATGCAATTCACACCTTTCACATGAAGGAAAATGCTTGATGTGGAATGCAACCTTTTGACATAGTAAATTCCTCAGTGTTTGTCCTGAGACCAGTGGCAGAACAAGAAACCAGTTCTGGTCCTCATCCCTTCCAAACCTGCAGTACTGCACTGCGCCGGCCCCTCAAAGACTTGAATTACAGAGCTCGGGGGGGATCAGTCTCAGTTTTCTGTTTAGTCCTGTTGTTCTAGTTAAAACCTATTTTATCACGCTGAAGATGTGGACTAGAGATAGATAGGAGGCTGGCTTTAAAAAAGTAATTGCTAATCATGAGAAATCCTGACTGAAGAAAAGCGAATCCTCTACTGCAGAAACGTACCTGCTTTGGTTTGGATGCTTTCTTTCAGAGAGGCAGTGCATGACAGTCATCGCAGTTAAGAAGCCCAAAACACCAGCAAATACGTATGAACTGACAGCAACGGAGATTCTTCCTGAGATGAGGTAGGTGTACAGTTATCCGCATATGTTTTTGGTTTAGAGCTACCTTAATCAGTGAACAGCCTAGGAAGCATTGTTCACAACAGCAAGCTGTATTTCCTTTCTCTTGGTTAAAATTTTCCTAAAACCTCTTGCTGTATTCCCTGGGAAACACTGAAAGCAGAAAAAAAAATTAAAACCAGAAGTCAGTCATCTTCAGAATGCATTCCTGTTTTCCATAACATAAATCCCATCTTGTCCCATTTTCCCTGAGTGCTGCAGTTTTAAAAAGCATCTCTGAGCTTAAAGCTCAACTGACGTAAGCAGAAACTCTCATAATACACGACACTTCCTTTAGTTTTCTTCATTCTGATCTGATCATATTCTAATAGTGCATATGAAATAACTACCGTCTGATTGCTGAGGAAAAGTAACTAATCAATTTGGTTTTGTAACAGGTGTCATTCTGTGGATTTAGATAAACCTAGCTCATGTGGAGAGCAGCCAAAAGAAGAGAAAGGCCAAACTACTTGGAAGTCTTGAAAGAGGCCTGGATAAAGTGATTACAGTGCTTACAGCAGGCACAAAGAAGTGATTCAGCTGACAGGGGCCAAGAAAACTTAAGGTGTGTTTGCTAGAGAAATATTTTATGGGAGTGATAGCTCCTGAAAACATTTCATACTATTAGGAATGGCCTTGTGAAAAATTCTTGCATGCGCTCTGTAGAAAATTGCACTTGCTCGTCCTGTTTTTCTATTGATATAATGGCCCTGTTAATGCCCAGGGATTTAGTGCTGCCTTCAGCTCAGGTGAGTCACCAGCACGTCATGGGAGAGGGCTGACCATTGCTTTTTGCATGCCATCTCTCCAAACTGGAGGAGGATACAGGATGGGTTTAAAGGAGTCCTAGCTGAAAGTACTGAATGATGTTATTTCTGTAGAGGTACTGCCAGCTTTCCCTCTGGTTTGAGGGAGCTTTGATAACATTCCTTGCTGGCTGTTTTCCTTAGTTCAGGAGTGATGCACTTGGAAAGGAGTTCTGGCATATTTTCTGGAATTCAATAGAATCCAGATTAAAGATCCAAAGATTAATAAATTCAGCTGGTGAAGGAATTTCTGATGTGGTCAGTGTGACTTTTGATTTTCAAAGTTTTGATGTCTCTGCAGCTAAGCCGTATTTTTGTTATTACTAATTCTTTAAATAACCTTAGAAAAAATAATTACTTAGTGCACTGCATAGAACACTTCTACATGAAACTTACACCAGGCAAAGTCGATATATAACATCAGTTTTAGATTTTTGGAATCTACATACATTGGCTTTTCCATGAAGTGAACAGAATCGTATAAATCACTTGAGAGGAATTTAAATTTGAATCAGTAGATGACATGCTCAAAAAAATTGTGATTCATGTGAAAACAAGGCTGTTATGAAGGCATAAACAGTTCCATAAAAGAAATTGATGCATCTCTCCATCTAGCTGTCTGCTGAAGCTGTAGCTATCAGGGACATCTCCAGTACAGTCACAGAATCAAGGAGTCTGGAAGGGAGACCTCTGGAGATCATCGAGTCCAGCCTATGCTAAAAGAAGTTCTCTACATTAAATAGTGCTGGAAAACATCCAGGTTCATTTTGAATATCTCCAGAGAAGGAGACTTCACAGTCTTTTTGGGTAGCTTGCTCCAGGGCTCTGACACCCTCAAAGTAAAGAAGTTATTTCTCGTGCTTGCATGGAACTTCCTGTGTTCCAGTTTGTACTCATTGCCTCTTGTCCTGATGCTGATCACCATTGAAAATCATCTGACCCCATCCACTGGACACCTATGATTCAGGTATTTGCAAACACTGATTCCCTCTCAACCTTCTCTTTCCCAGGCTGAACAGCCCCAGGTCTCTCAGCCTTTCCTCATAAGAGAGGCACAGCTAGACTGTGCCACTGATCACAGCCCTCTGAGCTCTGCTTGTCAGCCAGTTCTCAATCCACCTCGCTATCCAGTGTTTATCCCACACTTTCTAAGTTTACCTATGAGGATGTTGTGGAAGACATTTAGTGTCTTGCTGAATTCAAGGTACACAGCATCCGCTGCTCTTTCCTCATCTACCCAGCTGGTCATGACATCATAAAATCCTTAGAGGTGGAAACGGACCTCTGAATGCCATCTAGTCCAAGTCCTGTGCAAGGAGCAGCGACATGCACAGCTAGATCAGGTTGGCCAGGGCCTGATCCAACCTCTCCTTGAGAGTCTTCAGGGATGGGACATCCACCACATGATGAGACAGCCTGTTCCAGTGCCTCGCCACCCTCACCATAGAAGAGTTTTTCCTTATCTAAACCTACCCTCTTTGAGCCCTCATTCTTTCCTTGTAAGGGAGATGTTGTGCTCCTTCCACCATCTTTGTGGCTCTGTCCTGCATTCTCTCAAGCAGTTCCCTGTCCTTCTTGAATGAAGGGGCCCAGAGCTGGACATAATATTCCAGATGCAGTCTCACCAGGGCAGAGTGTTGGGAGAGGAGAACCACTCTCGCCTACTGACCACAGCCCTTCTATTACACCCCAGGATGCCTTTTGCCTTCTTGTCCACAAGGGCACAGTGCTGGCCCATGGTCATCCTGCTGTCCACCAGGACTCCAGGTCCCTTTCCCCTGCTCTCCTCTCCAACAGGTCTGTCCCAACCTACCCTGGTACCTGGGGTTGTTTTTGTCCAGATGCAGGACTCTACACTCACCCATGTTATGTCGCATTAAATTCCTCCCTGCCCAACTCTGCAGCCTGTCTAGATGTAGCTTCCAGGAGGATCTGTTGCGTGATTTTTCCTGGCACAGAGGTGAGACTGACAGGTCAGTAGTTCTCCAGGTCATCCTTTTTAAATGATGTCACCTTTTTTCCAGTCTCCAGGGACTTCACCTGATTGCCACAACTTATACATCGACAGTGGCTTGAAGATTATATCAGCCAATGCCATTAGGAGTGGGATGCATCTCATTAGACTTGTGGATGTGTAAAATAAACAGGGTGGATAAATAAATGTGGATGTATAAAATAAAATGGTACCAGATCAGTCAAACATGATTTCCCATCGGTGAGCCCATGTTGACCAGTCCTGATAACCCTCTTTTCTTCCTCTGCTTGGAGATGACATCTAGAATAAACTGCTCCATCATCTTCCCAGTGACAGAGGTGAGGCTTCCTGGCCCATAGTTTGTTGGCTTCTTCTTGCCCTTTTTGAAGAGTGACCTGACATGACTATCCTCCAGTCCTCAGGCACCTATCCTGTTCTCTCTGACCTTTTAAAAATGAAACAGTGTTGTTCAGCAGTCACTTCTAGCTCCCTCACTGCTTGTGGGTGCATGCCATCAAAGCCATGGATTTGTGTGCCTTGAGTTTGCCTAGCCTATCTCTAATCAGATCCTTCTCGACCATCAGGAAGTCTTCCTTTCTCCCAACTCATTCTCTTACCTTCAGAGTCCGGGTTTCTGTAGGGCAGTCTTATCAGTAAAGACTAAAGCAAAAGCAGCATTCAGTAACTCCACCTTCTCACCGTCCTTTGTTGCCAGGACACCCACTGCATTCGGCAGTGGGACCTCACTTTCCCTCACCTTCCTTTTGCTATTGATTTACTTAAAGATGCCTTTCTTGTTTTCCTTGACCTCCCTCACCAGATATAATTCCAAAAGTGTCCTAACCTTCCTTGTTGTAACCCTGCATGTCCTGACAACATTTCTATATTTCTATGAAGTGGACAGACTCTTTTTCACATTTCATAGACCTTCCTTTTTCCATTTGAGATTTCTCTTGAGCTCCTTGCTCATCCTCGTAGGTTTCCTGCCACCTGCGCTTGATTTCTTACCCATAAGGATTCCCCAGTTGTGAGCTCCCCACTTCACTTGTGGAAGAAGTGGTGCTTGAATGTCTACCAGCTCTATTGGACTCCCTTACATTCCAGTGCTCTAGCTCATAGGATGTTAGGCCCTTGAAGTGGTCGAAGTTGGATCTCCTGAAGTCTGGGACCACTGTCCTAATTATTGCTGTGTTTCTTTGATACAAGATCCTGTTATCAGCTGTCTCACGGTCAATGCATGCAAGTGTGTCTGTAATAAGAGGGTTACTTTGTGTTTTGCAGTTTGGTTAAATGCAGTTTAGCTTCTGTATTCTGATCTGGAAGCTTATCCAATTGGCGCTTTGTTAAACACAAGATGGCGCTGTTACAAGTTCAAGACACTTGGGCCTACAAACCTACCCAGCTAATTTGACAAGCGTCCAGACTGCACCAATAATTCAGGATGTCGAGTAATTGGAAACAAACCTAAGTGAGATTTTTTTACCTCTAAAAGCTTTTATCATTCTGCATCAGTTTCCCTTGCCCATAGCATTATGCAAGGTCACTGATGCACTTCTATGGGCACTAGATTACAATAGTGGAAGATGAAACCTTATGTAATTTTTGCTGCAGATGTTACAGACAGGAGTCCTGCGTGTTCTGGGTTGAACAGGAAATTGAAGAACTTCCTTTTTCTTTTTTTTCTCTCTCTGACTTTTTCATCCGCAACCTACATTCATTTCTCAAGCTGTTTTATCTTCCTGTCTTCTCTGATCTGTCTTTGTGACAGTTGCAGTATTAGTGTGTTTGAGACATGATGATTGGTGTGCTCTGTCTCTTTTTACACGTGGAAGTTGCAGAAGTTAGTTACTCCTCAGGCAGGGAAAGAATTGGGAATGTTTTCAATGAATTTCAAGGGTTAAAAATGTTACTAAATTTTTTCTGTTTCTGGTCAAGAACTTTCCAGATGCAAAATGACATAAATGAGGAACACTTCACAGGAACATACGACGACACAAATCTGACCAACAAACGCAAGGAAAGGCTGCAGTGTGAGCCCAGCCTGGTCAATGGCTTTAACAGACAGGTGTGTATAGAACGTGTGCCCATGGTTCAGGCCTGGTTCCACCTGGTTCCATGACTGATGGGGTGGGGGCCCACAGACTCATGCCTTGAGATGGGCCTAAAAACACACAGCAGCAGAGATTTAAGTCCCTTAAACTTGAATGCAAACAGTGATTGCCACAGAGTGAGATTTTACAGGTGGTACAACCAGCACAAGGGTTGAGCTTGATAATAACTGATTACATTTTAAAAAAGGATAATAAATTGAGTTTGATAATTGTTGACAAAGTTTACATAACATACAGTTCCAACAAACTCAAGTTTCATATCAGTGCTTAAACAACTTCTGTGCACAACCCCTCCTGCTGCAATGTTAGGCCTCTGTTTGGTTTTCAAATGTTGACATTTAAGCCTCCTAAATATCAGAAATCAGCTGGCGATGCCAGCACTGCAGCTGAGGGCTGTAACTGGCCCATAGCTGGGCTGCTGTGCAAGCTCTGATTTCTGCTTGCTTGCTCTGCTTTCTGGCATGAACACAAACCTCTCCCAAGAGTTCGGATTCTCCCTGAGATTTGATCTGGGTTGCTCTAAGCCTAGAAAATGAGAGAGCTGGCTGCATGTGGCATGTTGAAAACAGCCTCGTTGATGCCTAGCAGGGCAATGCCACGTGTATCTTAGAGCACTAATCCCAAGTGGTCGAATAATTGAAATTTTTGCTTGTTTCGACATTCCCTGAGTTTTAATTTAAGAATTTAATACAAAAATAACCTTACATTTTTAGTGTATTTTGTTTTTTGGCTAATATTTCTTGCTGTGAATGAATGACCACTGGTGGTAGGAACCAGCAGAATGGGTGAGAAGCAAGATTCACTTGTGGGTTGTTTTGAAGCTCAACTACACCCATGGTGATAGATTATTTTGTTGTTTTTATACTGAGAATTCTGGAATTCTATTGTGTCAGCTTATCACAGGTAGAACTGGGAGGCAGAAGAAACTGTGGGGATTAAGACGTGCATTGTGTGCCAAGCTTATGGAAGTACCCACACACAGGGTCAGAATGTGTGTTCTGCTTCACTGAGTCCTAATCTCTCATTTTGCAGGCAGACAGGTTGCACACAGTCATACATGTAAGACTAAATGGGTTGCTGTGCTGTGCCTAGGAGGCTGTTCTTATTCCTTTCCCTTTGCCAGGATCCTCTGTTACACCCAAGTTTAATTGATGGTCATTGTACAGCAGTGTGTTCTGCTGCTTGGCTTCAATCTTAGCTCTCTACGCTACCATTTCTCTGAGCAGATAACTAAACTTGGCTCATATTTTTTCCATTCAAAGCTTGATGTAAAGACATTTCTTAAATGCACTGCTTAAAAATTATAACATATAAAATATTATTTGTCATAGAGAATGTCATTCTATTTTTCTTCTCCCCGCCTCTTTCTTTATAACTTGTTTTGTTAGATGGTTTTGCAGAACAGGCAGCAGAATAGTAAGGAGCCCTGAGTGCAAAGGAAAAGACATCCTTCAAGTCCAGAAGGTAAACTCCACTTACTAATTCCTTAACATGGTTAATAAAGTGTATGGATTGTTCACCACTTAGTGAATACATTCAACTGTTCTATTGCTTACCCTCAAATCTTGTTCCAAACTATAGCACTTACTTTCCATTTTTATTTATTTAGTTAGCTAGTTAGTTTGGCAGGTTTGGAGTACTGTATTTGGATTCATATTCAATTAGTAATCCAAACTTCAAAAATTACCTTTGATCCTTCTACAGTCACATATCCTCAAAGGGCTCTGCTTTACCCTGCCTGGGCTCACTCTTGCTTTTAACTGAACATCTGCTTAGGGCTGCATTTTTGGCTCTGCCAGGTATCCCTGATACCCACACTCCTAAGCGTATCTTATTCAAGATTCTGTAACTTCTGGGGCTATAACCTTGTTTTCCCCTGTTTGTGTTAAGGGCAGACTTACAATTGTCAATCAGTTAATACTGTTTGATCCTTAGCTTCAGTTATATTTAATTTCTTGCCAGAGTAACCTGGCGTGTACAAGAATTTATGTATTCCTACTTGTTTTCTTAGTCTGTATTCAGTTAATCCCAAAAAGTAAGCCATTCATTCATTCATTCATTCATTCATTTATTGGGCATTAGCTGCTTCTGTTGTTACAAAATCATCCACGGGCAGTAAGAGGCGCCCGTATCCACCGAAAGATAAACCTCTTTATCCTGCTCCCCCAGCTGTAATTTAAGCAATGGATCTGCTAGGGTAGACTTTCCAAATTCCCATCCTTCATCTATGCAACCAGAAATTGTCCCCTCTTTCTCAGTAATTTACACATTCCTTTCATTCCAATGGGGCAGAGCCCTCTCTGGGCTCTTCCAGCCCCCCCCCTCTCCCCCCTCATCTCTCTCAGTGGATCCCTGGCTCCTACAGCCCTACTCCAG